CGTCATGTGACTCCCCGAGTTCAAAGTCAGGTTTTGGATCATCCTGCAGTTTTCGGTTACTGCACGTTTTTAGCCTGCACATGTCTCTGCATGTCAGTCCATTTGACAAGCACGTGCAGCTTGGCATTTTGCATGAACTTGGATGCTAGCAGTTCTAAGACGGGTGTCAGCTTCTTCATGCGTGGAGTGCAGCTCTGCTACTTGCCTACACTCATCTTCTGTCAACTTGAAGCAAGTTTCCTCACAGGTGATGTACAACACCTTGCCATGCAGCATCTCTCTGTATCGTGGGAGTTTCCACTCTTCCATCAGAAACATAATGAGACTGGTATTGTTGGAGGGACTGCACAGAAAATTTCTCTGCTGCTGGACGTGGTGTACCCTTGCAAGGTTCCTATACTGGAGTGTGGTGTCTGCACCCCAGTTTAATCGTTCAGCATCTTTGATCGAAGTGTGGCGGTAGACATCAAAAACAACATCAATTCTCTCACTCTGTGCCCCCTCGTGGAGGACCTGGGTCAAGGCCGACTCTGCCACCTGTGCAAAAGTTTTGTTGTTGCCATTTATTTTTTGGACCAGGTTCATCCCATCAATGATGGAAGTACATGGGGTTTGGGTGTTTTCTAAAGGAGATACATTCTTTTCAAGCTCTCTGGCAAGTGCAGCCTTGTTTGTTTTTCGTAGGGACCCATCAGCATTTGTCAGTGCCCATGGCAGTAGGACCAGTGGATGGGTAAGGACATCTTTCATATTCACCTTCCTGCTTTCAGCCACCAGGATCATGTGGCTGGACAGGTTTCTATATGCGTTCAGAACCACATCCTGTGCTTTCTTTCCACGAGCTGTTTTTGTGCTGACATTGGAGAATGTCTTTAGACTTTGCTTGGTCATCTTGTCGTGGAATTTCACAGATGGTGGGTCCTCATCTAACCTTGTTTGCTTGAATGCCCGGTAGGCCTCTTCTCCTATCTCATGAACTTTCAAGAGATCTCTGGTCACATCAGGTGGAGCCATGGTGCTAGTGGAGAGGCTAACCAGATCGGTCTCACCGGGGGACATAGGATTGAGCCAGTTATTCTCCATAAGATCAATGAGAGACTGGACATCTGCTTCATCTTTCTTGATCCTTGGATCCTGTAGATCTAGATCGGACAGTTTGGACCTGCCTTGACATATCAGGTGTCCCAGCTGTCTGAGGTACATGCTCTTGTACTTGGCTGTTAGGTAATATTTGGTCACAGCTCCCGGCTTTAAGCTGAATCCCGTTGTCCCTCCAGCTGTCTGGGTGTCTTTGTTCACCGTTTCTTCTATAGTTTGGTCAACAGGGATTCAGCCAAAGGGATCGGTGGAGCCCAGTTGAACTGAGAAGCCTCCTTCCATGAATTCCTTGTACACATCTGGGTGTGTGATGGGCAGCTGAGACGGTCTGGGCGTAGTAGTAGGGAAGGTAGCGTGCATAACTCATCCTGTCATATGCGAAGCACCATGGGATCATTGCTCGAATGCTTGCCAAGTGTAGCATCCAGTCTCCCTCTCTGGATGCTCGGATGAGCCCCAATAAGATTACAACCATGTCAAAGTAGGACATCCCGAAGATCGAGCGGCTGCCGTTTCCACCTCTGAGGAACTCATGGTAGACTTCAAACAGTTGCGTGATGCG